TTATCGACCATGTTGCTCTCATATGAGTGATTGGTTGGCTGAGTTTGTTATTTTTCTATTACGCGATTTCTGTATATTTTTTTCATTCGATCCCAAAAGGAAGATGGATGAGGAAAAGGGCTACGCGCACTGAAGATTTCCGTCTAGAGCATCTAGGGTTTCTTTGATTTCGGAAGGTGATCTAATCCATCCCAACAAGGACAAGTCAAGTAATGAGGTGCTCTAAATTGGAAACATTTTGAAGAGAGGAAGAGAGATGGAACGTGGAAGAGAATATCATAGGGGAGGAGGAGGGAAGAAAGAGAAAGAGAAGAGGGAAGAAAGAGAAAGGAAAAGATAAACGAAAAACAAAATGATACGTGTTAAAAATAATATAAAATTAAATAAATATCTCACTCATAAATCACGTCAACGGAACCGAAGTTTAACCTCAAGAACCATTTAGAATCATTTTCTAAAGATTGGGGACTAAAATGTCACTTTTTGAAACTTAGGAACAACTCAATTGAAACTTGAGGTTGAGTATATTTTACCCAAAATTATATATATATAAATTTTTTTTAACTAACAATTTTTTAATATTGTTAAAAAGAGAGATAAAACAAGAAATTTTAAAATAGTGAGGGACCATCATAACAATGAGAAGAAGGTGTAGAGAAATAATGTTATAAAAAAATCAAAAGTTATGATATACCACAATGGGTTAAGACACTTTATCTACCACTAAAGTATCGTGAGTTCAACTCTTCACCTCATATATTATATTACAAAAGAAAAAATAATTTCATCCGAGGATATTAATTATAAAAGAAATAAGAAAAGGGAAAGGAAGGGTGATAGAGGTAGAGAAACTAATTGATCGGTTTGAAAGTTTTTAATGGTTAAATAAATTCTTTTTTTCCCCTAAATTCTTATTATCATTATTATATGTTTTTTTTTTCCTTTGTAGTGTATCCGACGTCTACAGAATAAAAAAGTAAAAATAAAAAACCCTTCTATGGGTACAAGTTCCATAAATATTTATCTCTTCACGAGAATAGTGATCCTTGTTTATGCAAGGAATTGCACAACACTGTTTTATGAACCAAGCTCGAACCCGACTCCCGGCTTAACCTGAACTCAAGAGTGAACCTGTACAAGAGGGCAAACTCTCTGACGCTCAACTTAGTTCTAGTCAGACTCAATATTAAATTCGAGGTGAGATTCGATACCTGTCTGTGAAATGAGGCGCTCTATTTATAGGTGGCGGGTCCGACAGTGCTCACGACCGGCGGTTACCTTTGTCTTTTTTATGTCGAACCTGTCGGGTTTGAGCAGATCGAACCCGTCCAAGTCGAACCAGGGCTTTTTACACTTAGCCCTGTTTATGGGCAAACCCAGTCTCCTCGGTAGGTTCGAGGTGGACCTGGGATACTTCCTTTATTCCCTGAACACCAACGAACGTCCTCCACGATCCAGGGTATTTTTATCCCCAAACAATCCTAAATCAAGAGCTTCCTCCATGTTTTGAGTAATTTTCCATCAAGCTTTCAAATATATATATATATATATATATATATATATATAGTTTGTAATTATTCTAGAGTTGCTTAAATTTTCATGATTAAATCTTCGGCCATTGTATTGTTTCATAGTAATTTTGGAATTATTTTAATTGGATCAAAGGAATGATTTATGGTTTCTATCGAGGCAAGTGACTTGGCTCTGAGGAGCCTTAGAGTTAGATAGGACATTTTTGTACCATGTTTGATTTAATATTAAATTGAGTGTTTTGATTAATTATATTTAAATTTTAAGTGTGATTTAACCTATGTTGTATTGCCAAAGCGAACATAACCCAACGGTAATTGACATATATCTCCAACCTAGATGTTGAAAGTTCGATCTCTCACTCCACATGTTGTACTAAAAAAACATATATGTTGTATTTCCAGTTAAAATTGTCATGTTAATTTGATGGGGACCTCATGCATGTATATGATCACTAATATATTTACCTGAAAAAGACAATGACAATTACTCTCATTTATCAGGTAGAATGGACTCAACTTCAATTGAATTGGAACGCCAACTATATCTATCAAAGTAGAGTTTCGCACGAAACACGTATAGACAACTCACATATAGTTAAGTAACCATGTTTCTTACTGTCGTGTACACTTCATAGAAGATTTGTCGAATGAGTCTTCACTCCACGGACTGAATATCAAATCAACGTTAATTAGGACCTTGTTTTATTCAAATCCCACTTATGCACGACCATAGAGTTGGTTAAAGTTTTTGAGATAGGTTAATTATTGTCATGTTATATGAGTGTAAGAACATCATCTTGTTACTAATCTGAGCATAACTCAACCGATTAAGACATCTATTTTTTATCAAAAAGTTGTGAGTTCGAATTTCAAGCCCTACATATTGTACTGTAAAAAAATCTACCCCATTAGACGAGGTTAAATATTCATATTAAATTTTAATAGGCATGTATTTTTTTTAGTACAAAATATGATTTTTTTTTATAATGAAAATACAATATCTACGTATTAACAAATTATTTAAACAAGACAAATAAAATTAATGCTACATTAACATTATAACTTATAAAAATAAAAGATAAAGAATACTTACATTTAAAAACGTGTCCTAGGCACGCGAGTTCGTGTTACGTCGACGTCGCTCCAGCTCGAGCCATGGCCACCCTCATGTACAATTTTAGTTTACTATAATAGACTTTTTACGTTATATATGGCCTGCTGCCGACATTGATTTCTTCGTTGCTTTCTTATTTACTATTTATACTTTTTAATCGAAACAAATTGTTATTTTTATGTTCAAATATATTAAAAGTTCTATTTTCCCTTTTTTAATATTAATAATTTATATCTACTATTTATATTTTGTAACAAAAAAAATTTGTTATTTTTATATTATTTCTTTACTATAAAACAAATGTTTTTTTTACTCTCCTTCGCAAAAAAAAAATGTTAATTTTACTCTTTATATTTTTTAACAAAAAAAAAACCTATTATTTTGATCTTATTTCAAATAAATAGGTTAATTGTCTTTATCCCACTCGAATTGCCTTGCGGAAATACTTTAAGTTCCAAGGCTGCCTCCAAGTCTGGACTGCCAATATGGTACCCACTCGGCTGCGAACAAGCCTCTGGAGAACTAATATTCCAAAGGCACATTCCCAAGTAGTGAGGCTCCGGCCAAAGCTCCCACTCGAACGCATTCCTTGTCTTGCGGGAACACTTAAAGTTCCAAAGTTGCATCCAAGTCTAGGCTACCCACGTGGCAATAACTACATAAATAAATATATAAATATTTTAAATGAAAATCGTGTACGCGACTTTCCATAAATAGAAATTGCATACAATGTACGCGACTTCTATAAATGGAAAGTCGCGTACGTTCCTTGCTGACTCATTTTTCCACCTCATCTATGTCATGTTGGCACCTAAATCGCATTCATTGTATGCAATTTTTTACTTTGCCTATCACTTAACCTATTTTTGTCAATAATTTGAATATATAACTTAATTTTGTAATTTTTTATTTATACTCCATTTATTTTGTTATTACTTTTAAATCTATTGTAATTTGTTTTTAAATTACATTATTATTAAACTTTCTCCCCTAAATTCACGGTTATTTTACTCATGGAAATATGGTGTGACAGAAAATTTGATGATTTGGCCAATTATATTAATTTTTGGTGATTGGAATAAGTGACGTGGCCATCTCCTTCTTTTTCTTTTGTCGTTCCTTTCTTTCTTGCCTCCTTCCTTGACTGGACTCTTCACCGCCGCTCGCCCAAGATGAATGGAGAAGCTCCCCCGTTTCAGATGTGAGAGGGAAGGAAGCTCTCCCTCTGAAAAATGAAAGATTTTAGATCTGAAAAACGAAAGAGAGCTCTCCCTTCAGTATATTTTCCCTCTATTTTTTTTTTTTTTAACATCAGATGTCAGCTCCTTTTGCAGAGTTGATTTTTTTTTTTGTTTCTTTTCTTTTCTCTCTTATTTTCTTTTTTCTTTTCCTTCTTATCTATTTTTTTTTTCTAATCACACATTTTATTGCTGGTCAAATTTTCATCGGTACAAACAGATAGATTTAGTCACCACATCATTTGTTTCGATATTTTTCCTTCCAACTTATCTTATCAATAATTTCTTCGTTGGAGCGATTTGAGTAATTCAAAGGACGTTGGAATTTTTATTTCGAGTTCTACGTGTCGTCGATACTTTAAAATACCTCAACTTTTTGTTAGACAAAATATATATTATCAAATATGATTGGAGCTCACAATAAATTTATACTTTATAACAATAATTCTTACACATTAAAAGTAATTAATACTAAATATGTTTGTTATATTTAAAATATTAATTAATTAATTAAACTTAAGGGAAACGGCAACAGAAATCATGTTTGGCAATACGTGTAACTTGAACCAACTCCTATAGGCTATACATGCACGCCTATACCATCAAAGCTGAGAGACCACCTTAGTTATTAATACTTTTTATAGTTTTCAAAATTTAGTTCTTTTTTTTTAGTTTTTAAAAATTTAGGAAGGAAAAACATGATTATGAAATATGTCTATTTCTTAAAAAATGAGAGACAGTAAGAGACAAAAAAAATAAAAACGTTACCAAATGAGATCTAAGGAACTTCCAAATAAGCAAATTAACAAACTAATCGACAAGTTGGCTATGAAAGACATATTTAAACTAGCAAATTAGCTTGAAGGAGAGTGTTGAAATATATATATATATATAAACATTTATTAGTTGTTTCTTTAACCTTTATGATTTTTATTTCTATCCTTGCAGTCGGTCTCCTATTTTCTTTTTTTAATAAGTTTACTATTTCTATAGTACGTCTTTCCCCGTCATATTATTTTTACTCTTCTAAAATTAACAGCGACTCAAGATATGGATCTGTAAATTCACAAACTACACCTATGATTTACAAAATAAATAAACAATAGATACCCTTACCCTGAAGATAATTTAGGCTATACATATTATTATATTACAAGTAAAACATGACAAACCATGCATCTATACAAAGGTAGAAATTTGCAAAAACTAGTGCACTGATTAACAAAATGCACCTTCCAAGTTCCAACTCCTGGAAACAATGAGCTACAGTAAAATCCAGCGTAGCCAAATATATAACTTTGAGTTATATTTGAGCCTTAGAAAGCTTTGGAGTCAACTTCAAAGTGATGTCACCATAAGGTACATCTTGTTGTACATCAATCAGATCATAACTCTTCAAAACCTATTGAACAATGCAGAGTCACAAATCCAATATCAGTAGAGACTAAAATTTGTTTCCTTCGGTTAAGAAGCTGTCTTATCAAAATACAAAACTACTAAGAATTTAAAAATCGCACCTATACCAGAAAAGATATGATTTTTCCAAATTGAAATTTAGGTACTTCATTTTGGTCTCTACCAAATATAGTCGAACTTCAAAACTTTGAGAAATTAATTACCAGCGTCTCATAGAACATCCGTGCACATAGCTTTCTTCTTTTCCCTTCTAGGATGTTGTTCAAACAAAGATCTTGGATCGAGTCATCGGAGATTGATTTTATAGGAGACAGACTCATTAAATACCGACCCACAGCCCTGTTCACATTAACCACAAAATCGAGAAAATTATAATAAGCCATTTAGAGTACTTGAAACATTCAGCTTTCTGTGGCTTTGGTCCTCTTTCTGGTTCTTGGACTTTCTAATTGTTTTTGTAATTGCCCTATTTGTTTGATCATAGGAAATTGGGATATCATTAATACCCAATGGCCTTGGCCCTTATAATTTGGTCCTTACAAATAAAAAAGGTTACTTCAATTAGAACGGTCTTAAAGTAAATGATGGAAAAGTACCTAGTTCTCACTGATAATGAGTCAACTCTTTGAGTTCTCTGAGAGCCTATATAAGCACATTGGTGCCCCAACATTACTTCAGAATTCCAAGTAACAAAAAAGTACCCAAGAAATAAATTTAAAGGAAATATCTGAACAATAAAAGTAACTACAAGATAGTTTATTTTACCAGGTGGTGAGTTATCTGCTTCCAGAAAATAAAGTTCCTACAGTTAATATTTCAGCAAGTTAGGACTTTTTTAAAAGATTTCCAAACAAGTCTATAAATCAAGAAAAATAGATGGTTCTACGAAAGATAACGAATAGGATAGCCTTATTAGAAAAATGAAGAAATGTTTGAGAAACAATTTAAATGATTAAATTGATGCTAGTTAGACAACTCAAGCATTTTGACATTTTGAAAATGGTGATGATTTGACACAATATGAAAATAGTAAATCCTAATTCAGATTCTTGTTTTTTGTTCCAAATTTGTCTCAAAATAATAGTCTGAGTTAAATCTCATTAATCAAACTACTTCAAATCCAAGAACAAATGTAGATAATAATTACTTGAAAGTAATTCTCAACTTTAACGAAACTCTGAATATGTTCGTCAGAAAAAAATCAGTAATATGTAAAGTTTTTTTGGGGCATTGGCACCCTGCTTATATCATCTCTTTTTCTGCTATATATGCCTAGCAAGTCCAATTTTCTTGGTGTTTATCTGTTGCCAAACACGTTTAGTAGATCCTAATTTTTTCCTAAATCTTTCTTTTTTCTTTTTCATTAAGCTTTCACAGTGCTTCGTTTGGTTCAGTTATTTTATCGGGTTTGGTCTAAACAGCACATATTTCATTAGTTTTTTTTTTTCTTCCTACACTCTAGTGTGGAAATCATGCTTGAAAAAAGTTTACCATTACTTTTTATTCACTCCATCTACAAAATATATCATTGATGTTATTCAGGATGTGTGCTTGACATGTCCTAAATTTTACCCAAAAAAACCCATTCTAAAATCTAGCTCATATATTTGTGTCACAAAACCTACAAGCTCTACTTAAAACAGTGCTTGTGCACCTAGGCTGTATAAAAATAACATGTAAAAGCCTAAGAACTATTGTTGACTCCAAAATCAAATCATATCATAAGGTATAATCCCTTAAATATAATAAACTCAACAGAGCAGTAATATTAAGTAATAAAGTTGTTATGTAATATATATAATAGGAACTAATGATAATCAAGAGGAGAAAACGGAGGAATATCACATCTTCGTGGTAAGTTATGGAAGAAAATGAAGCACTAGTATTAACAGATATATCTACCTCATCTGCAGTATTCATCTCCTCGGGAATATCTGAGAGTGTGATATTTTCTCCGCCCACCTCGTCAATTGTCCTGGGAGTTTCAAACACAGATTTTGAAGGTTCGGTTGATATTACTCCAGGTGTTGACAGCACTCTAGTGGATGCAATAACTGCTGATGGTGAACCTAATCCTTCAGAAAGCCTAGGAGAGGGCATGGACCTAGGCGGAGAGGCAATTAAGTCTGCCAAAGTGTCGTCCCCACGATTGCCTTCAACATCACGAAGATGTTCGATTTCCATTTCGGAAAAGGACGCAGAAGCAGGATTGATAGTGGGTGGAATTTCGAAATGTGGTGAGGAAACAGCTTCTTGATCTGGAGACGGGGCAACTACAAGGGGTGAAAAAGTCTCACCTACTAGTGCAATGTTTCTAGCAGGATCAACGGTGGGTGGAATTATGGTATGTGGTGAGGAAGCAACATCTGGAGCTGGAGATGGGGCATCTGCTCGGTACAAAATTGTTTCGCCCGTTGAAGCAATGTTTCTAACATTCCCAGGATCCTCGGAAGCTTTCTCCAAGGATGTTGAACAACATTTTGTTGCAATGTAGTCCATGTTAAACATATCACCAAGATCATGACATAAACCTGCATACAGATATTTGATTTTTTTCCCTACTATTAAAGGAATGCATAAACAAGCAGAAAGAAAAAGTACGACAAAAAATCACTTACCAGTTAGGGAAGGATGATAGAAAACTTCATCTTTTCTTAAGCTGTTGTTTAACTTCCAAACATCCAAAGAAGTGCTTGGAGTGTTCCTCCTCTCACGCAATAAATCACTTGAATCTTCAAGAGCCTTTTTCATAAATCTGAAACGCTACTTTCTATATCAGTAATTGATTACATTAAACACAAAAGTTAAATGATGATATCACAAACATACTTGTTAGTCAACACGGTTGACTTGTCAAAGAAATGCTTTCTCTTCCTTGATCTTGACTTTGGCTCTTGAGCAGTTGGTTGAAGAACAAGTTCCATGGGATACCGTCCTACTCTTGCAGCACATGGAGAATAAAACATCAGAAACCAAGATAGCATAAGTTAATCACCACCAATTAGAATCAACCCTAGATATGGAGCAATTAGAATTAAACTCACCAAATGAAATATGTGTATCGATCATTTCAAGTGCCTCTTTTGAAGTTGCAGAAGTTGGAGGTCCTGCACTTTCCTCAAATGGTAATGATGTTCTTGGAAGAGTCACCTTATCTTCCATGACCAGTAAAAGATTTTCTTGGTTTATACTCTCATCTATAAGACGACTTGGTTCAACCATGTATTCACGGTCAACTGGAGGTGCCACAGGAAGGTCTCTTGGACTAAAATCAGGGGCAGCCTCCCGTAGAACTTCAATTTCTGGTACATGTTGTACAGAGTTATCATCATCACGCATGCCCTGATCTTGAACATTCATAGAATCTGGAACATCAAGTCCTGGAACACTTTGTCGCATGATATCCTCGTTTGGTCTCATGTTAAGTACATCTTCCTCACCAATCAGGTCTTCAACATTCATAGTGCTATCCATAGGAGGTGGAGGGAGCCCGCTGCACTCAAGAAAGATAAACAGCAAATTAAATTGTGGTCAAATTATGTGATCAAGAAAAAATAATTGGCCTTGAAAGCGCGGGAGCTTTACACATCTTCCATTGATTTGAAACCCAAATCAGGAGCCTCCATAGGATGTGATAAATCTATCATGATATCCTGTGTATGAAATTAAGCAATTTAATAATGATGATGAAGATAGCCAGAGTATAAAAGATCCTAAACACTCACTAAGGCAAATAGACAAAAGTCAAAACCTCATCAAAAGATATAGCCACATAAGCATCTCTTCCAACAGGAACTTGTTCTGCAACACAAACATGTTAATTAATTTCTAACTCCGTACATTATTGAATTGGCTGTAAGCAAGAGGGAGTGATAAACGTGAAATGCAATCACTGTTAAACCTGCTAGAGTGATCTCTTCTTGACTCCTAAGATGATTATCTGGAATCCTACGAGAACAAAATCATCAATAAGAGAGACATTTCAAGTAAATCATAAAGTTGGGAGTCCAGATGCATTACCCGTCACGATAAATATCACTATCCAATTCGAGGGCATCAAGATCGAAAGTCTCTGGCAAGGTGATGGAATGAAAAGGTGCCTGGTAAGCATTCTCAGGTAAAGTAAGTTTCGTCGAAGAGTGCGAAGAATGCATTTTTCGTAACTCCATCACCAAAACATCAACATCGTGTTTCAAATAATCAATTTGCTTTGAATAAATTCGTACAACACCTAGCAGAAGGTAGCTTGATGTTCGCAATGCAAGGGGAACCTCTCCAAACATGATGGCATCTAAAAACAAGACGAATCCAAGATTAGTCACTCACAAAACTCATACAAGCTCTCACAAACCGTACCTTCAAGTAAAAATGAAAATAGGCAAAGATTTGGCAACAAGAGTACAAATCTCAATAGAAATTAAAGATTTGATATATCAATCACCACAGAAACCCCAAATGGAAACCCAACAAATTTTCCTCCCATTTCAATGCAAAAAGGTGGAAAATGAAAAAGAACATCAAATTATTCAGACAGAGGAAAGAGATACAAACCAACAACAACAGGAATTTTAGTCTTCTCATAGTCCTTCTTGTTGAGACGGTGCTGCAAATGTGCCGCACACCACACCGTCCCCAAAGCCGTTTTCCGAGCCAATAGCGTATGCGAGTAAAACATATCTCTTTCTCCAAACCAGAAATTTTCACAACTGAAAGTGAAGGAATTTAGGGTTTGGCTGAAATTGAAGTCGGAGAATGCAAAGAGGCGCGGAAAATCAAAACTCGCGCCAAATTCATAGCGGCATTTTGAGGAAAGTGCATACGTGTGTCAACACGTGCGACGTGGCAGTTTCTTTTCGTTATTGACGAAATTACCCCTACCATCAAGAATGTTTTACCGCTGTGGGGTACCTTGCCGATGCATCTTTTAATGCATGATTGGGGACACGATCTTAGGTATTGAACGACTAGGTGGCAGGAAGGACCGTCCCTCGGTCTCCTGTGAATAGCAGAACTCATGTCTCTTTCAAGTACGCTAAATTACACCCTAGCTCACTCGAATACCATCTAGTCTAAATATTGATTTAAGCATTAAGAGTGTGTTTGGCACGACATCGTACTGGTAGTAGTGGATCCAGAATTTTATGTTAGGGAACACAAAATGCATATAAATATAATGAAAAATGAATTTTATCATATGTATGAATTTGAACGCCTCAATTGGTTAAATCACTTATTTCCGACCAAAAGTTTGTGAGTTTGAATCTCCATTCCCACACAGTGTTCTACTAAAAAAAATATATCAATTTGCACACTTTACTCGGATTAAGTTTTGTAATCTTCCCTTGAATTAAAAAAAAGACGTTGCAAATTTAACATTTTGATATCATTTGGAACATGGTTGGAAATAATATTCTCCTATTTGTCAAATGAATTATAAAAAATATACTTGGTATGAAATAGATAGATTTTAGATAAAAACAGCATGGTAGTTAGTATTTTTTTTTTAACATTATAGTTGGTATTCTTTTTTTTAATACATCATAGTTGTTTTTTTTAACTTAAATTTATAAGTTTTTTAAAATTATTTAATTGTAGGAAAATTTTTGTGGAGTTTTTTTTTCTTCAAATTAATTGGTGAACTGGTAGAAATTGAATAGAAATATGAAAATTATGACGGAGTTTAGAATTATAAGTTTAAATTTAATATAAATTTAGTTAAACATAAACGTTAAAGACTGCTTATTTTGAACGAAAAAACATGCTTTTTGAAAAATGTAATTAAAAAATCAAGAATGTTGAAGCAAGAATTCGATCACGGGACATGGAGGTGGAAGTAACATATTTTTGAAAAAATATAATTAAAAAACAAAAATGTTAAAACTACTTATTTTGAAAAAAAAACATACTTTTTGAAAAAATATAATTAAAAAATTAATAATGTTGAAGTAAAAGTACAATCACGGGACATGGAGATGGAAATAACCAAGGTTTGAAATGTCGATGTCGATGAAAATAGGTCCCGATTTTACAGACATGTCAATGGACATGTTGATGTCAACAGATATTTTGGAAAAAATTACAAAAGTTATGAAAATTGATGGAAATTGTTTCAATTAGTAAATTAAAGTTGAATTGTAGCTTAATTAGGCTATAATTGATCACTTTTAACTATTATAGGTAAAAAATGAGTAACTTACTCATGTAAATATCGACGTCAATGAAATATCGGAACAGTATAATAAAAATTATTGAAAATTATTTGAGTTGGTAAATTTAAATTCAATATTGCTTTGAATTATCCGGTTAATCCCTATAATTTGGACTAATTTTCTATTTGACTCTTAGTTTAAATCCTAGGCTAAATTTTAATTTATTTTTTATAATTTAATTATACATATAGATTCATATCGCAGTTGTTGAGTAGTTTGTTCTTTATTTTTTTAGCCTATTTCTTTGTTATCTAAAAAATAATCATATAATATATATCATTTATTCCTAATAAAACAAATAAATTGTTTTGTTGCTGGGATGGGAATTGGGAGACGAAAAACGGAAAGGGTGTGAAATAAAGGAAAAAAAATTTGACCCTTGCAGATAGGTCAAAAGAAAATTTAGAAGATGGAAGGGATTCCCACATCGACTAGGTTGATTGAGAAGGTGAGATTTTACGTGTATAAGTAGTTTCCTCCACCTTTTTCTCACATTCCATATTGGGCTTTAGAATTGGGCCATAATGTTTGAATTTGGGCCTGTAGACAATGAAATATTTTACTCAGTTTTCTCGACTTTTACTGTCAAAGTCGACATTTCCGGTAACCTGTGGTAGCCAACTTATATTGTTTAAAAACAAAAGTGATAATTAACCCCTTAAATCCAAGGGTTGAAGGTGTCCCTTTGCACGGGTTTTAGAGCATGAGTATTTTAAAGGGAATGTTGCCCTAGCCTACAGGCACGCAGATCCCAAGAGAGACAAAAATTGAGAGCTGAAAAGACAAAGGAACGGAATATACCCATTTTCGGGACGGAGAAGTTCACCTACTCGACACGAATCCTTACCGCATCCGATATCCCTAGCAAGGCTCGAGAGACCTCGAGTGATACCTTACTTCCATAGAAGACTAATTCGTCGTCATGACGTTCGGGCAGACAGATTAGAACAAATGTATTTATCCATGTTCTCAGTGTCTAAGCGGATTCTTGTTCCTAAACAGAGCAACTATCAGTTTAGTAGCATTGTGGACGACCCGTCGACAGACGTCGAGAGTGTTTTGGAGAAGTAAGGTATCCTAGTGAATGACCTTTTCTTAAGGTCTGTGCCAGAACAGCCTTCCATCCCTATGGAGGTGGGCCTGAATTGGCGTCCTTTCAGGTCTTCATCTCCGGTGAAAGGTGATAAGGCCCTAGTGGGCCGGATTCCCTTCCATTTGGAAGATGTTTGCAATCGCTTTATGGGATCGCGCGGTTCTTTATGTTGGCTCATTGCTTGCATGATCTTTCTTTTATCTTGTTTTCCCTCTGGACTACTTGACACACATGCGCTGAGTTACTTATGAAAAAGCCGTCTGGAACGAGCTGTCTGCTTCTTCTTCTCTGTCATTTAGAGGTTATATTTCTTCTTCTTCCATTTTGTTTTCTTTACCCATTATAAGGTAAACCCCATTTTGGAGGGATCTACATGCTGTAACTGACTTGAGACCAAACCTCTAGCTGCTATATTTATTTTTAAGCAAATCTGTTTTCATTTCTCAATCTTCTCGTTACTGTTGGCCGCTGTTTCGTGTATGCTAGCTTCTGTATTGATCAGGAAGGGCTTGTGGGTGATGATTTGTTTTGCTTGTGATTAGCGCTTTTCTATAGCTATAGGGATAATCAAGAATGGGGTCCTCTAATCATGCCTATAGCTTGGGTTTATTGCTTGGGTATTTAGCAATGAGAGTTGTACTTACTCATGTCTGGGGTGTCTCGGAAGGGAACCGAGTCGAGCTAGGCACTAATAAATGTTAGCTACGCTAGAGAGTAGATTGATAACTTGTGAAAGCATGCTAAAAATCTCTCCCGTCTTTTCCATATCTGTTATCCCCCCGTTATCGCTTTCTGTACTACTGCTTCTTGTGTTGACAGCTTCAATACTATCGTCCCTCGCAAGTTTCTATCGTCCTGTTATTATTTTATTTTATTTCTCCTAGAAAATATACATACACAAACTCTATACATTTTTTATTTGTTGGTATCTAATTTTATCGTTAAAATATAAACCAAAAATCCATGTGGATACGACCTCGTTACGTACTACAACCAACGATTCGTGTATACTTGCACATGTTGTCAACACAGTTGTGTGGACGCAACACCTACCTGCCTATGAGTCATGTTTCCTTGTGCAGGTATCACCTATGTCGATTCACCACTATCTTGGATCCGACATCACACTAGAACAAAATTATCATTTAATGTTACTTCTCAACTGACATCATATATATATATATATATATATAAAAGGAGAGAAATCACAAATAAGATATTTTTGAAATGGTTCAAAAATTCAAATTATTATAAAATGGGTAGGAACCCCAACTTCCATTTCAACTTTTGTTCGTTTTAATTCTTGTATTGTCAAAACCTCTGTTCAGGTCTCTATATTTTTAAAAAGGATTAATTTCAATATAATCTTTATACTCTTTAATACAACTTTATGGCTAATAAATAAAATTACAATTGAAAAATGAAATAAAAATTAAGTAAATAGACAAAATAATCACTAATTAAAAGTATAATAACCAACCTGTACAATGACCCAAATAAATGAATCAAAGCGGAAAGCAAATGGAGTATTTAAATCTAAATTTTAAACTAGTCTAACAAGAAACTAGGAATATAGTCAACTGGATTAGACATAACTTTCCAAAAGTAGCATGCAATGGCTAGCTGTAAGAAAAAAATAGTTAATATTGATAGCATTTAAAACTAGAAAGATGAGTAAATTAAGAAAGTACCACCAGAGCAAGTCATTGATCAACTATTATTTTCACTCATTATCAAATACTAATCTGGAAGGAGACCATGACAACATATATTTTATCTGTATTGAGAACTTGACACTTATTTATCCCACTCTCCCACCTACAAAAATAATAATAATCTTCCATTTCTCTCTATTTTTTTTATTGCCATAATAGAGCGTTTGATTTTGTGTGAAAGTTTCCACAATTTCTAAAGGTCCCATAGTTTTCCATAGGTGGAACATTTGCAAATAAAAGAGGGTTACTAGAATGGCATTATTTCCTTAACATTGTTGTTGATCACTCCAAGAATTCGGAGTTTCGGCGACGCAAATTCTCGTCGCTAAAACATCAAATTTCGTCCCCGAAGGTCTTTGGCGACGAAAACAAGTCGTCGTCTAAATCGTTGCCGTTGCCCGGTCGCCAGAGGGTTTCGGCGACGAAATATATGCCGTCGCCGAAGATAAGATATCTTCGGCGACCAAATTTATTTGGTCGCCGAAGGTCGTAAACCTTCGGAGACGAAGTAAAATTTGGTCGCCGAAGGTCAGAGACCTTCGGAGACGAAATAAAATTTGGGCGACCATGTCCTTTTTCGTCTCCGAATGGTTTTTTATGTTTTTTTTTTCAACAATATACCTGTCATACATTGAATTTAATTTAACTTATAATATTAAATAAAATTTAGTTTTACAAAAAATACAAGAAGTTCATACAAACAAAAATTTAAACAAATTCT